TGAAGTATTTTGCGTAGACAATTGTTAATAAACACCTGTATTTTCTGGATGATGGCTTTCGTAGTTCTCCAGGTTTCTGTCCCATACAGTAGAACTGTCTTGACATTTGTACTGAAAATCCTGACCTTGGTGTTGGTTGATAGTTGCTTCGAGTTCCAGATGTTCTTCAGTTGTAAATAGGCTGCTCTTGCTTTGCCGATCCGTGCCTTCACATCTGCATCAGATCCACCCTGTTCATCAATGATGCTGCCCAAATACGTAAAGGTTTTTACATCTTCCAAATCTTCTCCGTCAATTGTGATTGGATTGGTGTATTCTGTGTTGTATCGGAGAATCCTGTTTTTCCCTTTGTGTATATTGAAACCTATTGCTGCTGAGGCTGCTGCCACGCTGTTTGTCTTCTCCTGCATTTGTTGTTGCGTGTGGGATAGAAGGCCCAGATCATCTGCGAAGTCTAGATCGTCCAACTGCATCTTAGATGTCCATTGTATCCCGTGCTTCCCTTCAGATGTTGACGTCTTCATGATCCAGTCGATCACCAGGAGAAAGAGAAAGGGTGAGAGTAAACAACCTTGCCTGACACCGGTCTTCACTTCAAACGACTTTGTCAACTGTCCTCCATGCACGATTTTGCAGTTTAATCCATCATATGAGTTCTGTATTATATTGACTATCTTCTGAGGCACGCCGTAGTGTCGAAGAAGTTTCCATAGTGTTGTTCTGTCCACGCTATCAAATGCCTTTTCGTAGTCAATGAAGTTGATGTAGAGTGATGAGTTCCATTCAATTGATTGTTCCACAATGATCCGTAGAGTTGCGATTTGGTCTGTACACGATCTATCCTTACGGAATCCTGCCTGTTGGTCACGAAGTTGGGCGTCTACGCAGTCCTTCATCCTGTTTAACAATACCCTGTTGAAAACTTTTCCCGGTATTGAGAGAAGAGTGATGCCCCTGTAGTTATCACACTTGCTGAGATCGCCTTTCTTCGGTATTTTGATCAGGAGTCCTTCTTTCCAGTCTGTTGGTACTTGTTCCTCATCCTAAATCTTATTGAAGTGGATGTGGAGTATCCTTGCAGTTGCTGCTACGTCTGCTTTTAGTGCCTATGCTGGAATGTTGTTCGGTACTGCTGCTCTGACACTCTTGATTTGTCTGATGGCCAGGCTGATTTCTTCAATTGTTGGTGGGCCAACATTGATTAGGATGTCCGTGGGTGCTGCTTCGATGTTGGGTGGGTTCAGTGGAGCTGGTCGATTCAAGAGTTCTTTGAAGTGTTCTACCCACCTGTTTTGTTGCTCTTCAATGTTGGTGATTACCTCGCATTCCTTGCTTTTCACTGGTCGTTCTGGTTTGCGGCGATTTCCAGAGAGTTTCTTTGTCGTGTCATACAATTGTCTCATGTTTCCTTCGCTTGCAGCCTTTTCCGCCGCCGTTGCTAAATCTTCCACATATTTACGTTTGTCGGTTCTGAGGCTCTTCTTCACTTGCTTGTTAACTTCTGTGTATTCAGCTTGTGCCTTGGCTTTTTCTGCTCTTGTTCGGCTGGTATTGATTGCTGCCTTTTTGTTCCTCCTTTCTTGAATCTTATCCAGTGTATCAACAGTGATCCATTCCTTGTGACGGTGCTTCTTGTGGCCCAGGACCTCATGACATGTTGAAGTGATTGCCTCTTTGGTCCCCTTCCAGTTGCTCTCCACAGTAGTTCCTTCTCCATTGAATACATCATGAAAGGCCTGGAACTTGTTGCTGAGGACTATCTTGAATTTGTTGAGTTTGTTAGTATCCTGAAGAAAGGCCGTATTGAACTTTTGTGATATTGTCCGCCTCATTGTCCAGTGCTTCTTGAGTTTCAATTTCATCTTGGCCACCAGCAAGTGATGATCTGATGCTATATCAGCTCCTCTCTTGGTTCTCACATCCTCCACCGTCCTCCTGAACTTTTTGCTGATGCAGATATGGTCAATTTGGTCTTGCGTAGTGTGATCCGGTGAAGTCCATGTGGTTTTGTGTATGCGTTTATGTGGGAATACGGTGCCGCCTATGACCAGCTTATTGAAGGCACATAGATTTGCAAATCTCTCACCATTTTCGTTTCTTTCTCCCAGTCCGTGTCGTCCCATGATGTCTTCATATCCAGTGTTGTCCGTTCCAACCTTGGCGTTGAAATCTCCCATCAGAATGGTCAGGTCCTTTGTTGGGCACTTCTCGACGATTGACTGCAGCCTATTGTAGAATTGATCTTTAGCGTCTTCATTGTAGTCGTTGGTAGGCGCATAGCATTGGATGATGTTCATTGAAATGCCCTCTTTCTTTGTTTTGAAGGAGGCTTTGATGATCCTTGGTCCGTGAGATTCCCATCCTATAAGCGCATTTTGCGCTTGTTTGGACAGCATCAATGCAACTCCTTGTGTATGTGGTGCATTTTCTTCTTCATGGCTGGAGTATAACAGGAGTTCTCCTGTAGTTAGTCGTTGTTGTCCAACTTGTGTCCAATGTGTTTCACTTATCCCAAGTACCTCTAGGTTGTATCCTCTCATTTCTGAAGCAATTTGGAAGGCTTTCCCGGTGTCCCGCATTGTGCGAATATTCCATGTACCTAAATAAATGATCGCTCTGGTTGTCAGAAGGGGCATCGGCCTCGTAACTTCCGAAGGAATTCGGCTTTCATCATGAGGCGTCATAATTCTTCTAAATGAAGACCTTCTGACTCCCAGGGCAGAGTGTAAAAGATTTGAATAATTTTTTCTGGTTAGTGTTTTTTTAGCGAGTTAGTTTTCTACGGGATGGAGACGCTAACCCCATACCCAACCCTCTTCCTTTATCCGGGCTTGGGACCAGCAGTAGCCCCCGGAGGGACTCCAGGCGGAGTTAAATCATAATACCTTTAATATTAACAATCAATTAATGATAATATCTTGTGGAGAGAAATTCAAAGTCATCTGTCTCGAATTGGTCAAAGCACATTTTGTCACCAGCGCAGTAGAAAATAGAAAATAAGTCATCAATAAATTTTACGTTTGTAAGACAAAAGTACAAAACATTGAGCGACTTATGTATCATGGATTGGTGGGTTCTAATTAAGTAAACAAATCAAAGAGGAAGTGTTTAAATTAATGATATAGACTGAGATGAGATGCAATGAGAATCATACTCACGAGAAATAAAGATCTCGTAAAAATGTAAAAAAACAGAAAGATTCACTTTTTCTGGCCGTTTCAGTGCAACCTTTTATCAAGTACTCGTAAATTTTAAGTTGTTATCAAAAGCCGGTATTTGTCAGCTTTTGATAAAAAAATTTTCAGTTTGTTTTAAATATCAGTGGATTTATGGGGTCAAAATAATCTGGCATACTTGTCTCTTAGTGATTTATTTGTTTGCGGTGAGATACTACAACCTGTTATAGACAAGTGAATTACTTACGCCTGTTAACCCCCCGAGGGGGGGGCACAGACTGCCCACCTGTATTCTCTATCCATATTCTCGATAGTCTTGTGGAATTCAGCGTTAGCCCACTACTCTGCATCTCAAGAGACGATATTCTTAAATTATCTGGGTCAGACCCCTTTACACTAGGGATGTTCAACATCTTATCAACAAATGCATGAGCTACGATGTGCTTCTGACCAAACGCTTTACGATAGCCATCTTCTAGTACGAGCAAGCAACAATGAACAATAGTGGCCTAAACTTCACCGTCCCAATACTGAATCAAATAGCTTAACCTAGTTCGGTATCTAACGTTTTCACAGAAAGTCTTCGAAATTCCGTATGAAACTCCAATGGTTCATGGGATTACCATCAAATCTCGATCATTTAAAGAATATATCTTTGACTATTTACCAATATGCGGGTCGTTTCTCTGACCCATATCTTACTATAAAGATGCTTTTGACAAACAGTGAGCTGATCTACGGAGTTATTTGGTTGATTCAACATCTCTCAGTTTAAGTGATATTAATATAGATGTTTCTTCAAGTTCATCTCTTGCTTTTTGTTTCAACATAGTTCAGTCCGGGTGTTTTCTTCAAAATTAGCCATAATGACAACATAAGTGTCTTCTTTTTGCTCGATTGTGATTGCAACTATCATCTTCAGAATGATAACTAGGAAATACTATGAATCAGTGATTCAACATATATTGAGAATTGTTGTGTTGAGAATTTTCTGACATTCTATATGTTTGAACTTTAACCATTTGCATGATGATCTTATAAAATCAAGTTGGTTATTTCATTAATGATGAAAGTGATTGGCTGAGGTTAGATATTGAATGCTGACTAAGTGGTTTAATCGTTAAGCGTTCACGCGCGAGACTGACAGGTCCTGGGTTCAAATCTTGCTAGGCGGGATCCTGGATGCGCACTGTTGAGGAGTTCCATACTAGAATGAAACGGCCGTCCATTTGTTTCAGTTATTCTATGGTAGTCTGGCTTCAATTGACTCATGAATTCAATTATTAAAGAACCTGATACTGCTGTGTGTGCTACTTATGTCGATAGATATAAGTAGTATATAACACCATCAAAAGTGGAATGCCTCATGGCAGAAGATTAAGAAGATCGAAGGAAATAGAATGAGAACAGGGAATGATTGATGTCGAAACTAAAGAACAGTGAAGTCTGAGACAATTGGTGAATATTTTGCAAATGAAGTATTACTGTATTGTTTTCAGGTTTTACTAAGAAATTCTGTAATGTACTTTTGGCTATCCCATCCAATGTGTTCTCATTCACTACAATACCATTAACATAGTGAATAATTGTTATACATTCATGTATTGGCTTTTATTGTTCATCATTCTTGAATGAAAGAAACATGATTGTTATGTGATCATTTTAAAATTCATCAAACATTTTCTTCATGGAAATTTGATCAGATAAGTTATGATCGGATCAGGTAGAAAATGCGTCACATTCATAAATGTTTATTTTTATTTAAAAAACGTTTTGAAAATTTTTAGTGAATTACACTTTTCGTTTTTATCTGCCTACGAAACACTTGAATTAACTTTAAACAGATTAGTATATAATAATAATAAACAACTTATTACATAACAAAATACATTACCTGATATAGAAGTGAACAAGACTGAACTTCAAACTATATTGTGTATAATAATATTGAATAATGTAACAAGAAAGATTCCGTATTAATATAAATGTCAGTTATATTTAATGCAAAATAATAGAAACTATTTTGTAGCATCATGAAATACTTTATCTATGTTATAATCACAATGATAAGTATGATTATGCATATTTTAAAGTTGAATAATGATTAATTATTGTTTTGCTTCTTCTTTTTTCAAGTTGGAGTCACCTTATCTTACACTGTCAAGGTAAACCTTTTTGATATCAGTTACTATATATAAATATATAATGTGCATTATATTATCCTTATTTCAATCCTCATTACTCTGCGTTTTTTTTAATAGTTATTTATTGGGAATCGAATTTATTTCAATCAAATGAAGATAATAAACGGCCATCCAGTGCTTCCAGGTTTTCCATGGTGGTCTAGCTTCAATTGACTCATGATTTCAATCAGTGAAATTTCTAAAATCTCCACAAAACCCCTTCTGATAATAATCATCTGCTCACTAGTGACTGACTTCAAGAGATACTCCTGGGGTTCTATTGAGAAGCCGTTACAAGTGGAGTTCAACCTGGTCTGTTGTGAGATATCAACTCACTGAAGACAATGGTGTACGGTGGCATAACTGCTTGCATTAGTTGAAGTTAGACATTAACACCGTTGGATGCCTGCTCAATGATCTAGTTGATTAAGCGCCTGGCGCGAGACTGATAGGTCCTGGGTTCGAATCTCGCGATGTATGGGGTCGTGGATGAGCACTGCTGAGGAGTCCCACACTAGGACGAAACGGCCTTCCAGTGCTTCCAGGTTTCCCACGGTGATCTAGCTTCAATTGACTCATGATTTCAATCAGTGAAATATATAAGCGTTAAAAACTAATGATCGGAATCCATTCAAGCATCTTCATTATTGGATTTTCCCCTATGAAAATTAGGTGTCTTGTCTTTTAAAATAAGTAGGGTTTTCTATGAATAATCATATGAATACAAAGTAGTAAATAATAGTTTGTAATGATTCTTTGATAATCATACATTTCACTTTTCTTCGAATAAACAAATATATTATTAAATTTTCAAAATATTATATTTAGATAAACATAAAGATTTTGACTAGTATCAGTGAAACACATATTACAAACAAATATAAATCGTCAGTTATTACTTGTAATAATTAATCAGACTTATCGTATTGAAGTAGAGAAATATCTCAAAAATAATCAAAGCTGTTTAATATATCAGCGAACTTTCTCTTATCTATGTATTTGTAAGATGTATTTCCATATAGGGTTCGGAACTAGATAATAGTTTTATTTTGTCGTACAGAAACATTTAGGTTCTGCTCTCTTCTCTTCACTTCGTTTCTCTGATCGTTTGTCTGGATCAACCATTGTATGAAATGTGTGTATTCAAAACTTCGTTCTGATATTTGACCTATTTAATTCCGTTATTTGTTGACGCTAGTTAAGTTGATAAGTATATGCAAGGATTGACGATATGTATAAGTCGGTAATGATAATAGCACGATTCACGACCACTTGTCATGATTAAGAAAACAATTGATGAAATTGGTTTGAACATCTAAATGAATCGAAGCTCGATTCAGGTGTATATTACACAATACTTCTATCAAAATATTTTGGTCGCAAATGTTAAACGTCATTTTCTGCATTAGGATGTCATGATGATTGCTAAATAACCAGTTTTCATTCTAAACATGAATAAAGTAAGTGATCTTCTACTTTTGACTGTGATTATTTCAATATTTACTACTTAACTTGACATATAACAAGCCCAGGGTCTCTCTCTTCACAGTTATTTATTTTACAAATTAACACGTTTCAGGATGTGGATATGTCGAACATAGAAGAATCGGTTAATTACCAATCAAACGACAATTCCAGTAAGCCAATTTTCGATCAATCAAAATATTTCACGCTCTTACTTAGCTTGTTCTATGTGTATACAATATATTACCAAATGGCAAACATATTTAAACTCAACTTCAGTGGATGAACAGATTGAAAAATATATTAAATCAACTTGCGCATTTTATTTATTTTTCAGACATCAGGTAAACTAGATTTTGTTGTTGTTGTATTTATTCAGTTGTCATGCAAATGATTTTACTCTTAGTTTTAGTTATCTACCATTTTAACACACCAACTGTAACACTATCAACATTTAACAACAAGTGGATCAATTCGTTTCGCTAAAATGTGAATTAGAGAACATAGGAAATAACAACTCAACAGATGTTGCTATTAATATGTCTGTAACTATGACAGACCCTGGAAAATGATTTTTTCATTGTAATTGGTCAGTGTTCAACTGGATAGAGACATTTAATCAATGGCATATCATTATTGTCGATAATGTTTAGCTAATACAGCTTGAGAATTCTATACACCCAGCATTCTAGTGTAAAATGCGAATATTCCTATTAGGCATTAGGAATTTATCATAAGTTTCAAAATTTGTCACTGACGCCAAAAAACATTGTCTAAGAGTAGATTACAGATTTCAACATGCTATTTGTGAAGCTGCTGTACAAAGTCAGTGTATGGAATTTCTACTTAAAAATCCAAGTACTTACTGTGGAACTTCTGTATATTTTATTTTAATGGAGTATCGACTAACTTGCAATTCAGAATTGCAGGTAATACCATATTACAATAATAAGTTTGAAATTTGGAAGATTTCAACTGATATATCGTGATACAGGGGTTTTCTGAGTACTTCGCAATAAGACAAGATATAAGCCAGATATCATTTATATTTTCTTACAAACAGGACTCATATAAATGTAAATCAATGATTTTAATATAATTCATAATTTACTGACTAACTGGTGAACCAGTGAGGTAACTATGAAAGCCGATGGACTAAACTGCAAAGTTGTATGAACGGTTAATAGTTTGAATAAGCCAACCAATTTGTAAAACTGGCCTCCTTAAGTATAAGTGCTAGGTTATGAGTTCTATTACAATTATCTTTGTAATCATTATGTTGATGGTGAATATTCTTGTAAAAATCTTCATTCTGTTTGATGTAGTTTTTAGTGTTATTGTTGGTTGTCACATAGTTACAGATCATAGAGACGTCCTATGACCTAAAACATTTACGTTATAAGAATTAGTGCAAGTGTATGCTTGAGTACAATATATAAACTGAGTCTTAAGTTGAGCTGGATGGTAATAATTAAAAGCGGTAATTAAGATGAGTTCTACCAAAGTACCGTGAGGCAATATATAAAAAAAAGTTGAACACGGGAAAATATCTAAATCAAAAATATAACAATATAAACGGATAATTATTAAAACCTACTACACACTACTGACAAACACAAAACAAGGTATCACTTAATATCAACCCATGGGTAACCCCTGGAACACTTTCAAAGGCATAGTCAGGATTATAATTTGCCATTCTTGTCCATTCATTAAGTCATATGGCATCATTCAACGGAAACCTTTCCCACTGATACATATATATAAACAATCTTCACTTATATTTATTATCTATGTTTTTTTTCTTTTGTTAGCTTATACGAAATAGGTTAATGTATTTGTTTTCAGTAAACTGTTTTTTAATCACCTAAAGATCATTTTTACAGGGCTGATGTAAAGATAGAATCAGGATAACACTTCTGGACATTGCCAGGGTCATAACACACAAAAGCACAACGATCATACTTTGAGAATTCATATATTTCAATGTAAACGGAATTCGTTAAAATAGGACCGATATTATAACTGGATTAAATTTGATAAGTGAATCAAGTTAGAAATTTCATTATTAACTTCTTTTCCTAGTTCAACCTATAAAGATTGATTCGAACTACTGAGAAATAGAAAGATATGTTTTAGCATGAGTATGTATAAGTATTATATCCGGACGAGGATAAATGAATGGTAAACGTTAGAAATTACGTACGGACTAACATTATACTCATATTCCTATTTTATGACTAATATTAAATGACTATATTATATGTACATTCATATTCCTTTCATTATAGGCTTTTATTCGACCTAATGGCTATTATTATATGATTTACTATTCTCAATCTATTAGTCACAGTCTCTCATAGTCATAGCCGCTTTTTGGTTTGAACTTGTACAAATGTTATTCTCTGCTTTATGGTGTGATGTAGTCTGATTTGCTTGTATATAGACCAAGTATTTTCGAAATATATGGTTCGTATCTTGGAGGTCGAGATTGACGTTCTGGACTAAATAGACAGGGTAAGACGGACAAAGGACCAATCAGAACTCTGGGCTGCTCGTACAGGTGTATGTGTCATTAGTTTGATCGTATAAGTCAGCGTATCTAAACAGGCAATCGTATTTCATGATGTCATAAAGATCAGGTCATAAAGTTTCCCATAAAAGTGATCTTTTAATTACGTGTTCGAGGCGTTACTAAAAGTTTAATTTATAAACGTTTAAGTTCTGAAAATGTCTATTAACTTTATGGCATTATGACAATTATTTCCAAAGGTATATTCATTACTTTAGTAAAATGTTTAATTTGTTTTAGAAATTATTTGACTATTTTATTTTTGATTTCAGTGTGAGAATATGATGGAAAGATGTTTGAATAAAACAATCCATATTATAGAACAAACCAATGCTACAACATTATGCAAAGTAAGATAGATGCAATATAGTGAGTTGGTAAATAGCTGAAATTATAAATTTTCTATTATTGAACGTATATTATTATGGAGCATATCTCCAGGTGCGTGAGGGACAGTTGACAGATGCATTCCGAGTAAGGAACAGAGTCGGAAAATTCTGCCTATTCTCTCCCTTCCTCTTCTTCTTTCTTCTGGTGGTCAACTGCATTATGAAGATCTCTACATCTGGAGGAAAACGCGGGATACAATGAACAGCTCGGAATGAATCAGAAGATTTGGACTTCTCAAATAACCTGGTCGTTCTATCCCATACACACGAACAAATCCATTTGAAGACAACTAATGAAGTAGAAGCCTCAACATCAGTAGACCTCAACATACACAAAAGAATAATCAAGATCATCAAATACAACACAGAGAATACCAACCCAATTACACTTGATTGAGAATCTTTGGGAGAGGTGAATTATTTCAGGTACCTGGACAGCATCATTGATGAATAAGGAGGATCAAATGCAGACGTAAAGGCGAGGATTGTGAAAGCAGGGGCCGTATTCCTACAATAGATGAGCATATGAAACTCAAAACAACTGTCTACCAACCAATATCAACTCACAATTCTCAATACGAACGTCAAGACAGTTCTACTGTATGGAGCTGATATGAGGAGAACTACCACAACCATCATCAGGAAGGTTCAAGTATTTATAAATAGTTGTCTACGCAAGATACTCAACATCCGTTAACCGGATGACATCAGCAGCAGTCTACTGCGAGAGAGAATAAACCAGCTTCCAGCTGAAGAGAAAATTAGGAAAAGATGATAGAAACAGATGGGACATACATTACGCAAATCACCAACCTATATCACGAATCAAGCCCTAACATGGAATCCTGAAGGGAAACGGAATAGAGAAAGGTCAAATAACACATAACGTCTAGAATTGGAAACAGACGTGAAAAGAGTAAATAGCAACTGGAAAGAACTGAAAAGGTTTGCCCAGGACAAAGTTTGTTGGGAGGTGCTGGTGGGAGGCTTATGCTTCTCCACGAGGGACAGTAGGCGTAAGTAAGTAAGTATGTAAGTCATTAATATTAACAATCCTAAACGATCAGTATCTTTTAATCTTTTTTATACATATAAGAGTAATGTAGTAAGAAAAATCGTGACACAACATATACTGAATGTTTTTAAAAAATATTAAACGCAAAGAGGCTTTATTCTTAATTTTTCAGCTAAGTGATAGTAAACCCAACTCCAGAAGATAAGCTTCAAAATTAACCTGGCATACATATACTTAGGTGACAGAGAAATGAGAATTTACGCTAATGCGGATTGTAAGGGTATTATTCGAATCACGTCAGACACACCATATGCCTTAAGATTGATACTTTTTCATAAAATAAAAGACAACGTCATATACACAAAATACCTAATCTTCGTATTTATCATAAATCTGTACGCCTTTCTCGTTACCCTGAGCATCTGCTAAATTATATATCTTCTTACAAAATTTTGATTACTTTAATTAATTCCTTATATTTATACTTACACAGTCATTTGTTATTGTCTACCTGGTAGACTAGTTCACCCGGTTATCTTTTTACTAACTCATAACTATTTCTGTAGATAACACTAAATGTGGCTAAATGCTGTTGATCGACATCACTGTTTAGTTATTATAAACACGATATTCAAGCGTAAAATTCAAATAACTACATTAGACGAATGATAAGCAACTAACCTTAAACACGTTATTTCACTACTCTGTCTGAAATCAACGGTCTAATTATACTACTAATAATCATTGTTAAAGCCATTACATAAGATTGTTATTTAAATGAAAATATAAACATCAAGTTATTTCTTTTACGCTTTCAAATGATTAATTTATTTTTTATTATTGTTTTTTTTTGTTATTTATTTCTCAGTTCACTCCTTTCTGTTAACAATGGGTCAGGGTAATTATGATCTGACTATTTACATTATGATGTAACATTAATTAAAGTGAAAATATATGTGTATTAATCAATGCCATTTGAGTTCATTTTTAAAATGTTTTCGAAAAGCATAATGTTCTCATTTACTAGATAGTGATTATGATGTTAATGTCTTCTCTGAAGAAATATCTCATAGTTATCAATTCTTGCTAGCTGACGTTATATTTTGAAAAATCCGGTTAAACTTGAGAAATTATTGAAATTCGTATACATAAATATATCAGGGTCAATGAATGTATAAACAAATGAAATATATAACCAGTTAAGTCGTTTGATCTTATCATTTTTCATTTCTATCTCTGTCTTATTTCGTTACGGTTGATTTATGTTTGTCAGTTATTAAAAATGTATTAGATTTGAAATGATTTATGTATAAACACTGGTTCTAAGTTTGCTTTTTCTCCATTGTCAATGATGTAACATTGTTTGGCATAGTACACCACTTGTTTTCATTCATCTCTTGTGTTTCCAAGTCCAATGATGATGTATCATCGTCAATTGACTGCATTATATACGTAGAACTACTTGTAATGGTATTCTCATTACAATCATATTCATCATTGTCATTTTGTAAATCACTGTACCCTCGAGTAGTTTCATTTTCTAAATTTGTCGACCAAATTTTAGTTTCATCATGATGTGAAAATGATATTTTATTTCGACTCATATTATTAGTTAATTTATCAGGCCTACAACACTTTATAAGTAATATAAGAATAAATAAAATCCCAATAAGCAAACCAACACCTGGAAGAATTCCTTTAATTTGAATCGATCTGTTATCAACAACACTTGTTGATGTAGTAGTATTAGTATTAATATTAGTAGTAGTAGTAGTATTAGTAAAAGAACTGAAATCTTGATATCGACATTGAATACTCCACAATAATGAATATGAAACGAACAAACAAACGTATTTGAACATATTTTGTGTTGAATTACTAGATTTCCAATGAAGAATCTTGATAAACAAATGATGAAATGTCTATGAACATAAGATTTTAAAGAAATATACTCATCTCCTTTAACAATTTAATTATTGTATTCTAATTAAAGTGGAAAGTAAACTATTTATATCATATCACCCAAAAATAATAATAATAATAATAATAATAATAATAATAATAATAATTATTATTATTATTATTATTATTATTATTATTATTATTACTATCATTATTGTTATTATTATTGATAGCAAATGTAAATAACTTTATATTTATTCATAGTTTATTTCTTATTAAATAACTTCTTATCTATCCTCAATGATTATTGGGATTATATTTATAGTTTAAAATTATTTATTTATTTATTTTTTAAAATTTATTTACCATCATTGTACTTCTCATGATTGTCCATAATAGAAAAATTTTAAAAAAATTTAATAAATATTAAAAACAATTGGTGTTTGTTGATAAATTATATACATCAAATAGTTTACATTCAATGTTGATGGAGTTTTATTCTCTGAGTTGGATTAGTTTAGTCGTGGAACATTTAATATATTTGTACCATATTATTATTATTGTTGTTGTTGAAGAGACAAAACAAAATATTCATTGTTAGATTGACCTTCAGTAGTTTTGTTTGGTTATAAAATGATCCATTTATTTTGAATAAATATACAACTTATACAATATGGGTATATTTTGAATCTTTAATAACCATTAGATCAGTATGTAAAACTGTAGTGAACAAGAACACGAGTGGAGATAATCAAATGTGCTTTGAACATGAAATTACAAAACATCTCACTAAAATCCGAGAATAATACAGTAAATATTTCATTTGCAAAATATCAATCCATTGTGTCAAACTTGACGTTTTCGTTTGCAAATATCAGTCCATCGTCTCAGATTTTATTGTTCCTGGATTTTTGTATCAGTTGTTTTCCGTACCCACTCTTTCCTTCTCGATCTTCTACTGAAATACATTCTATTCTTGACTATCGTTATATACTGCCCCTAAATGCCCTGGTACGGCCGAGAGTGGGGAGAGTCCGCTCTACCTCTCGAAATGCTCTCACATGGCCACGCGTATATAGCCTCTGCCAGGGAAGTCCTACTCACTGCCTTCTCCTACCAAGGGTGTTGTTTACGAAAATGAGAGGACGAAAAGCGAATGTCCGGCGCTTTAACCGGATTCCAAACCAATGGTGCACATGGGCTCCAGTATCCTGAGGGAACAAATGGCGTATGAACCAATTGTTGGTCACCGGCTTCCATGGGACTGCATCTCCTTACGATGCTCTACTGCCTTGTGGATCAGACCTTCAGGTCGAAGGCTCGGGGAGTGGCCCCCTAAGAAAACCACCTGCTTCGGTTTGGGCATCCGGGCAGTATCACAGCCCTCACACATATCGAATGGGATTTGTGTGGCGCATATGTATTTGGTGCCTCCTTGTACCGATGTGTTAAAAACAAATAAATAAATCGTTATATACTACTTATGTGGATAAAAGTAGCGCACATCACAAAACTTGTGATTAATAATTTATATTTCATATTTAATATAATATTGCCGTACAATGTTATCAAACATAGTATTATGAATTCTGATTTACTTACTTATTAACTTAGTTGCATACTTACTTACTTACTTACTTATGCCTGTTACTCCCAATGGAGCATAGGCCGCTGACCAGCATTCTCTAACCCACTTTGTCTTAGGATTACCTTTCTAGTTCTATCCAGTTGTTGTTCATTTCTCCCGTGTCTGTCTCCATTTCTCGATGTAATGTGTTCATTGGTCTTCTTCTTCTCCTTTGACCCTGAGGATTCCATGTGAGGGCTTACCTTGTGATGTAGTTGGGTGCTTTCCTCAATGTGTGTCCTATTCACTTCCAACGTTTCTTCCTGATTGCTTCCTTCGCTGGAATCTCGTAGAAACCAACTCGCTAAAAAAACGTTAACCGGATTTCTGATTTGCATAATATAATTTAGTAAGTTCCTTGTTGTATATTTTAGTAGTGAACAAATTTACAATATGCGTTGTAATCAGTATTTCACTGAAGATGCAAGTTCGTATTTACAGATTTAGCTTCAGTTATCGTAATACTTAATTTTAATTTGAGTATTAATTTAAAGACTGATTGAGCTCAAAATAAGCCGATCATATCTACAGCAATCGTCATGTGATTGTAGACATTTCATTATCAAACTACATCAAAACTATTTGTGATAATAAAACAGAACTAGTTCACTTCAATTTATAAACAGGAGAGTTTTTGGTGTATTTAGTGATATAAAAATCTAACCTTCGTTACATGATACTTTATTGATTAATCAAAATGAAAGTTTTTTGAGTAACCAGAGTTGCAGACCGTGACGAAACTGAATTATTTCAGAAGTACTCATTTCTCAGTAACATTGATAAACCCGAGCAAACAACGTTCTCCGTTCTAGTATCATTGTCATGAAATAAAACTCAGTCCCTTAATAGTGAGACGCAACAAAATAAGAAAATAAGTACGAACAAACCATAGACCCATCCAATCACATTGAAGTTTTAGTCGTAATTTTTCCAGAATCTCATCATTCACGGCCTCCAGCAACAAAATATCGCTTTAATAAGTTTTTCAGTGACGTCCTCACCTCATGATGATTTTAAAATGCTTGCTTTCCTGTTTATTTTTTCGATCAGTTTTAAGATATTCAGTTGGGTCACAAAATTGTCTGCTGCAATATAAAAGAAAATGACGCTTCTCATTTTTCTTGTATGATACTTTCAGATATTTTTAGTAATGTTGTAGCTACCCAACTTCATAGGGTGTAGAAGGTGACATTTAGATTCACATATCTTACCTGAAATATCCTACATGTATGTAAACATTCCTTCCATAAACTTTCTGCACGACACTCTTTTGTTTAAATGTGCATTCAATAAAATAGCTTTTAATCTCCTCAATCATATGTGTAAAATTATTTTCAGATTAGGTGAGATTGTTGTTTTTCTTGTATTTACAATTTTAGTGCTCAGTTGTTTTTCTGCTGTCATATGAAGTTCCTTCAGCTGTCTCAATTTTTGCTTTACTCAACCGTTAGCTGAGTATCTGAGTTCCAGCCGATTTTTCTGCTTGTTTGTATAAAGAACACCGTTTCTCCTGTACCAAGAAACGTTTTTCGGTTTTACAATTGGCTGAGTATTTTTTACTTTTAACTGTGTGCTTTCCATATATCATATTTAATTGAACACGGCTGTGTGAACGTATGCTAGATTTATATATTACATATGTATATATGTATATTACATATCTCATTTTCACATTTAAATAGCCAAGTGTATATCATCAAACAATTATGATTCGTTTTCCTCTGTTGAAATTATGGGTTAGCAGTATTATTGTTGACATAACACTACAAAAAATTGAGGATCGCTTGTTGCTCCGTATGCCTTTCTATATCCTCTTCACTCAGATTGTTATCCATCATAAACATTACCTCATTTCATGTAACAGCACGTCTACTATTATCAGTGAGCTTGGACTATAGGTGTTGATTATTGATCTAAAGTCAAACAATGTAATCCACTTTACGAAATAATTCATGTAAATTTGTCCACTTTGTCTGCGATAACGCTACTATCCTCTCGGTTAAATTTCAACAGGTCAACGCAACATCACTAATGTTGTAGGTTTATCTGTAGACTCTTAAACATTCAAATGACCACTCACTGTTTCCAGCTTCGAAACCGGTTGATGACAGGTCAATACCGTTTTTAAAGGTAAACCAGGATTTATATTTAGCCACCTTCTTTGTTGTAGGTAAGCTTTCAATTTCTACTTCTCTTATCACAATCGATTCATTACTATAAAGTTTTTACAGCCCTACTAGTTGGTTTGGAACAGCGTTAATTTGAAGTATAGCATTTCTTAACAAAACTTTAACATTTACCTTTCTGTCACTCAGTGACACAAGATAATGCCTTTACTTCCCGTAACAAAGCTGCTCAGTAATATAAACCATATATATAACCATTTTTTTATTTATAGCAAAGTTTATCATGTTGTGAAAGAAAGTTTAATCAAAATTTCTTTGT